ATGTTTCCAACACATGCTTTTTAGGGGGCACATTCATCTAGTTTTTGGATTTTAACTCAATCTGTTTATGAAATCTTCCTATTTTTATACATAGAAATTGAACTCATTCCCCTTAGCTGCTATATAGTATATTTTATTTAGCCATTTCCCTGTGGATCAGCAGCAGGAAAGGGCCTATGTACTCTCTCTTTGAACTTACTGAAGGAGGGAGCTGAGGAGACTACATCTCACTCTGCTGCTGGGGTTGAGAGGAAGAGATCTTCTCAAAGGATAGTGTCAGTGGCACTTCCTAAAAGAAGAAAGCAAGTTCAGTCGCTGGTACCTGCAGAAAGGAGACCAGGGGAGCTAGTCCAGGCCTGAGCAGAGACTCCCAGTTTAGAACCTAAGACATAACCAAGTCAGGACAAGCGTCCTGTCTTTCTCTCCATACCAAGTTCTGGTTCTCAAAATGTCTCTGACATTGTTCTCTTTTTCTTTCCTCTGTCACCATCCTAACTTAGGAATTCATCCTTACCATGACATTAGCTTCTTGGCCTCTATCCAGTTTCTTTTCCTTCTAATCCATCCAATATACCACTGCCAAATGAGTCCTTCAAAAACAACTCCACAGTCACCTCCTTTGTCAAAACCTTCAAAGGCGCCTTGTTGGGCCCTACTCATGGTTCCCTTTTCGTCTTCCACAGCTCTCAACTTCAGTGCTCTTAGTCCTCATTTATCAGGGCATGCCTTGTTAAATTTCTGCCTCACAGTTACAACAAACAGTGACTTCTGGGCATTGAAAAGCTTCGAAATAATCTAAGAAAGCATCGCACAGCTATAGGTTGTGTTTATTACTATGTAGAGTTGATTCGAATGTAGGAATCCATGTGAGTTGGAAAGGATAACTGCAACATGACCACTAGATGTCGTTCCTGACAACACAAAAGTTAAAGCAAGAGCTTGACATCACAGGACTGCTTTAAAGAACACTACCAAATGTAAGAATAAGAATATAAAAACACTTCTATAGATAAGTCCTATAAAAATCCAGAGGAGTAGCTTTGGAGACCTGTGTGTACAGGAAAGTAGCCCAATGCCATGGACACAATTAATAGTTAAGTACTTCCTATATCCTTCTAGAACAGCCTTCAGCAACTTACTGGTCAGCAGCATGAGGAGAAAATCAGAGGGTCTTAGAATTGAAAGGGAGCTTATTTGTCCATTAATTCTCAGATCTCTACTGTTCCCCGGAGTTAGAAATACAGTCTATATCACAATCCAGCATGTGCACACACACACACACACACAGATATAGCTTTCACATACATATATATATTATACATATATATACATAATATATATAGAGAGAGAGTTTAAACCAGTTTCAAAAAATAAATGCCCTTCCTATGTACAATGCACTTTGATTTTTTTAATGTATTCTACATCATTTAACAAATACTGGTTATAAACCAATACATTGATTTTACTTAATCTAAAACACTTCCTTAACATGAGTACATCAGAAACCAGAGGCTCAGAGAGGTGCAGTGACTTGCCCTAGGTAACACAGTAGCCAGGACTCAAGGCTTTTCAGGACACTGGCAGGTTTTATTTTGGAAGGTCCTTGGCACTTGCCCCCCAATCTTCTCCTGTGCTCCTCCACCTTCTAAATCCTGTGGCAGGTACACTGTGGTGAAAAAACCACACACGCAAAGTGTATGTGTGATTAGTCATATGTAGCAGTCATTTAAAAAATACAGGTTCTTTGTAAAATGCACGTGATCCCTTTAACTTCTCTCTTTGAATCCCTTATGGTTTTCAGGCGAAATACAAATGTTCAGCGTAGCAATAAAGGCTCTTCCAGACCTGACCCCCGCCCTGCTAGCCAGCTTTGTTCTTCACCACTCCCCCATACGTACCTTTGAGGCTTCTCCTCTACCCTCGACCTGGCTAAATCGTAAGTATCTCGAAACTCCACTCCCCTTCCTCTTCTGCAAAGCCTTCCTTGACACATGTCCCCACACGTGTGCCACCGCAGATACCCTACTGGTACCAAGTCTTCCTCTTGTCCGTCTTCTCCACCGGACTGTGGCACTCTCATGAGGCAGGGTCACGTCTGCCCATTTGCTGTCTGTGGCACCTAGCCTGTTGCTCAGCATGTAAGAAGAGCTTGATGAATATCTGCTGAAGTGAATATTTTCGTATTCTTACTCTCAAATTTTAATCCTAAAAAAGCTTCTTTGGAACATCAGCTCTCTGAATTAATTAAGAGCTGATTTTGAAAATGCAGAGCTCCACTTCTTAATATCTTGAGTATGAATAAAAACCACTATACCTATCAGGGAGAATAGATGTGAAAACCTAGTTTTTACCTTTTTCTTCTTGATTTTCGTAAGTTTTTGTTGGGGGTAAGGTTAACTTTGTTTTTTAACCTCTAGCTTGCAGGCTAGTACCCACTGATCAACTCAGCTGCTGTTCCTGCTACTGGTCACTCACAGAGCTCGCCCAGCCCCGCAAGCCCCAAACCGAGAGCCTTTCTGGATCCACGTAAGAGGGGCACACAGCAACTCTTCTGCACATGTAGCCTCCCCTGAAATTACTTACTCCCTACCTTTAAGGAGGGGAGAAATCAGAGTGAAAGAGCAGCAACCAAACCTTCATAATGGCTAAGGACAGTGAGTAATGAAGGGAGCATGGAGCAGCGGGCCATGGTGGTCAGAGGTGGCTTTGTGAGGGTGGATCACAGAGACCAGGGTGGGAGTTGGGCAGAGATGTGGGGAAGGAGGCATTTCCAGGCGGGAACCGGCATGAGCAACAGTCAGATATGGATGCAGAGGAGAAGACTCCTGGATCAGAGAGCCCGTGTGGCACTGAGGAGGGCTCAGGCATGCAAGAGCTGGGCAGGAGCGGGGCCATCATCCACTGTCACCTTTACTTTGTGCGTCACTGTGTTGGTTCTGAAGCACATCAATTTTATGTATTGTTTTGATCTCTATACCCGTGCCAGGTGAGCACCACAGATATTGTGGGTTTTGTTTTATAGAAATAGTTAAAAAAGGAGATTAAGAAAATTGGCCCAAGTCTTAGCTTGTGGCTAACCAGATTCACAGTCTAGATCTCTGTACTTATTTTTTATTTATTTATTTATTTTTTGAGACAGAGTCTTACTGTGTTGCCTGGGCTAGAGTGCCGTGGCATCAGCCTAGCTCACAGCAACCTCAAACTCCTGGGCTCAAACAATCCTACTGCCTCAGCCTCCCAAGTAGCTGGGACTACAGGCATGCGCCACTATGCCTGGCTAATTTTTTCTTATATATATTTTTAGTTGTCCAGCTAATTTCTTTCTATTTTTAGTAAAGACAGGGTCTCGCTCTTGCTCAGGCTGGTCTCAAACTCCTGAGTTCAAAGGATCCTCCCACCTCAGCCTCCCACAGTGCTAGGATTACAAGCATGAGCCACCGTGCCCGGCCAAAAAAATTTTTTTAACTTAAAAAAACAAAACAAAACAATGGCCCCAAACTGATAGACTACCATCTCAGAAGCTGTTAGCAAAGGATAACTAATATTTCCAGACAAGTACACCATTCAGATGACAAGTTATTATTTCACAGCAGAAATGACATGGCTTGAGAAATGACTTGCTGAGAAATCTGTGTTTACATTAGGGAGAGTGGGGGAAAAATCCCTCGCAGAAGTTGAAAAGATGTTAAGTGGTAAATGCCAAAATGCCCAGCAAGCATATAAGCAGACTCTCATCCTAGCATGAATATGTGCAGCTCAGCGTTTTAAAATTTACTTTTAGCTTTTCTGGCAGTTTGAATTAACCCTTTGTCTACCTCTACTCCCTTTGTGAGAGTTCAGCTCTCAACCTGAAGATGTGGACTGGGGGCGCCATCATGGTGCTCCATGAATGAATGATGCCCTCACCCTGACCGGTTTCTCACAAGTGGGCCACCTTGTGAACAAATGTCTCCTAAACTTCCTCAGTATCTATTTAGTGCCTAGGCAAACATTAGGAAACAAATCCAGCTTGCATAGATTTGGAAAAGGCCTGTTGGTAGAGCAAAACTGCGCAAATCAATGCCACAATAAAGGTACATCCAGACCAGAGGTTCTCCAGGGAGTGTGTGTATCCGAATCACTCCAGAGCTGCTGTTGCAGGTGGCCCCAGCATCTGTAGGTATAAAAGATCCTCAGGTGATCCTGAAGGACATCCCTCAGTGACAGACAGTAATCTAGATTCTCTAAAGAGCCAATTACATTTTTGTCTTGGTTTCAGCCCCTAGCAAACCGAAATGAAAAACAAAACAAGCAACCAAAACAGAAAATTCTTCCAGATTAGGTTTATCTTAATACCTTACTGGTTGTTAAACTTATTTACAGACTGAGTGAATAACAGTTACATACAAGGTGGGCATTTAAGGAACATAATATTTTACAATACTTTCTCATGCATTAACAATCTCATGTGGTTCTCACAGCAACCCTATGACGTAGCTTCTTATTCTCAAATTAAAGATGAAGAAAGTAAGTTTCGGGGACATGAAGATTCGCTCAAGATCCTTCGGATAGTAGAGAAAAGGAGTTGTGGGTTTGACAAGAAGAGGGACGAAATGACTATTGTTTTATTACTATAGGTAAAAAGAATTTTTAATGTTTAAACATTTCCTATCTAGTTACTATGCCATACTTTGCTTGTAAAAACATTATCTCACAATAAGATATTTATTGTTTTTTCTTTATTCTGTATCTATCTATGTACGTACACACACACACACACACACACACACACACACACAAGGAGTAAAACAGAAATAATCTGTTGTTCCTGAGTTTGATTGTGGGAGAATAAGATAGGTCATATTTATAACACTGATTTCAGGGACATGTAAATCCTGTACTTCAATTTCCATATGTGTTACACTAAAATGAATAAACAAATACGTTTCTCTATCAATCTCCAAATCAGAAAAAGGGAAAGGAAGCGCCTGGCCTAGAAAAGAATGACCATTAGTGCCTTAATCATGTCAGTATTTCTAGTATTACAGAATTAGATTCATTTTTTGCTATTTATAGTAAGTTGTATCTTAGAAGTGTTTTTTCTAAACATTCAGTACATCAAATAACAGTTGCTGCAGACATTTGCTTCCAAGGGAAGAATAATCCAAGTCAAATCCTGGTGAGATGAAATAATGCATAGTATTGGTCTTATTAAAACCAGGGCTGGCCAGGTAAACTTCTGACATTTTTCACGTTGCAATTTCTAAGCTCAACAGAAGAATCTGAAGAACAAAATAAAAGCCAAGAGAATAAAAGGTTAACTGAGCAGTAAAGCCTTATTTCAAGAATATCAATACTAAAATAAAACCATCCACTCCTGTAATTGGGTGAGTACTACTTACAGCCAAGTAAAATGCTTCCTAAATGATAGGATATGGCACTTGTCAGAAAACTAAAAACAGGTCAGGGTTCAGCTCACTAAAGAGGAAAGCAAATTTAGCATCTGGTGGGGCCAGCAGGGAGGAGCCTAACAGCAAAACATTAAATCCCAGCTTTTCTCTTTACCTTTGTCAATCAACATTTCATTCATCCTGAGAGGTGGCCTTGGCATAACTCAGAGGTAGATTCAGCCCAACAACTGGCCCTACAATGCTCAGCCACGATGTGATGTAGTTGACGTTCCTAGAAAACAAGTGAAACACAGGCCATGCTAACGTTTCCACTGTAGTCTTTGGATGAATAGTAGAAAATCAGTCTATCACCGATGATGTCAGAAACGAGGCTTTCTTTAAAGATGAATGCCAGCCCCTCGCTTGCCCAGAGAGACTGTGAGGGTCCCTCACTAAGGTAGGTGAAGGTGAGGTAAGGCACTGTGGCTCCTGACTCCCCTTGATGATTCTAAGTTCACATGTAAAATTCACAGCATTTACTAAGGTAGCAGAGTGCAGTGATTAAGAGCAGGGTTCTGAGGCAAAAATGCTCGGGTTCAAATCCCAGTTCCACCACTTAACCAGCTGTGTGACCTTGGTCAAGTCACCTAACTCCTCTGCGCATTAGCTTCCTCCTCTGTAAACTGGGTGAAATAATGATACTTAGCACATAGGGTGTTATAAAAATCCAGTGTGTTAATGTATCTAAAACTCACCGAGCATATAGTAAAGATCAATAAGGGTTAGCCATTATTACCATTACAAAGGATATTTCTTTTTTAGCGTAGCTTTTAGAGTCACAAAAAAATATTTACACTGGTAAAATCAGAGTAGAAGCCAATGTGTGTTGATGGTGTTTCTTACCTATTGATTTTCTGAGAATTCTTTAATATAGGAGTCATGAATTCATTCGTCTTGCAGGGATGAAGCACAAAAAAGGGCTGCCCAAGTATTGGATGTTCCTGTAAGAATGAGAATGGGTTCAGGACTGCCAGTGAGAGTTACTTTGAAAAAGTTAGAATAAATAATCTGGTTTACTCCTATAAAAAAAAGGTTTGTTTTAAATTCCAAGTTACTGAATTAATATACAGGTCTATTTTCTATTTTGAAATATGATTTATAATCCAAACTCGAGAAGAAGTTGGTGAGAAGGAGCCATTCACTGATAAAGTAGTATAGTTGAGTATAGTATAGCAAGGGGCATAGTTTTGTTTACACGATACAAACTGTAAAGTTTATCAGTTCCCTCTGTTGGCCAGTGTTTCTCTTTGGCCTATAACTATTATTCAGTTTTTCCTCAAGGATGTTCACAAAGCCCAGTAGCTTGATCACTTGAATAGTGCATTTCAATTACCTCTTTGTCAATGGTAAAGGAACCAAAATCATTTGCATATTCCTTTACACAGATTTTGTCAACATGCTGTTTTAGGCCTAACTGTGTCCAGGGCCGATGGACACATGTTCAGTGAGTGGAGAGGGAGGGACATGGCCTTGTTCTCCTTTGGTCTCTGTGTCTGTCTCTGAGTTTCTCTTTTTGCTTGTTCCTCTCCTTCTGTCTCCTCAATCCTATAGGGCTGTTTCTAAAAGTTAAGAGTCCATATAACTCCAATCGCTCCCTTTATAAGGGAGTAATTGGATATAAGGTATGGGTCAGTCTGCTCCCAGGTTAGGGATGAGGACATTATTTAGCAAGCAATGGGGAGTCAGAGGAGGTGTCTATATAATCTGTGTGCAAATGCTACCAACACAAAAACAATAATTGATGATAAATTTATTGATTGTTTACACTGTGGATTAACCATTATGCCAGAAACTGCAAACTCAAATACCTATGAAGACCAGGAAGGTGACCTAAAAGGGTTAATGCCGGTTAAATACACCAGCAGGTGATGGGGACCACAGGGAACTGGAGAGTGGCCCATCTGAAGCCGTGCTTGCTACTCCAGCCAACCGTGCCATGTGGGAATGTAGGTTCAGCATGCCAGACCTTCCCATTTATGAAAATAACCTGGAAAACCCAAAGTTTATGTAAAACTTCCTAAATTTAAATGTTGGTACAGTTTTTTAAAACATGGGATAGGCCAAATAAAACAGGCTTCTAGGCTGGTTTGGACTAGGGGCTGCCTGTCTTCTTCTCCTCTTAGCCAGCCCAAGGAGAAATTGGACTTGGAGCTGGTCACAGGAAGAATTATGTGGCTGTCCCTCCTGCCTCACCCCTTGATCCCAAGTGCTGATGTCTGCATGCATGTGCACATATCAGTGCACGAGAACTGGGAGGGACAGTCCCACTGGTACTGGTGATGCTGGGTGTGGAGGTTGGTGGGGTGGTGAGGGAGGAGTCATCCACTAGTTGCAGGTTTTTGTATGTATCTGGCATTTTTTCTCCCTGAGTGCCACCTCCACATGTCTCTGACCAGCTGCCTGATTCTTCTAGCAAGGCATCAGCTTCCTCTCTCCAGCTTTCTTCTCACCCTCATTCCCACCCCTAACTGGGCCCTGGGTCACAGCCCACATGCGTTGTGCCTACGTTAAGTTCTCCTGTCCAACCTGATCTGGTTTCCCTTGCCTGCCTTAAACTAAAATGTATTAATTCAACACATATTTATAGATCATCTTTTATGTGTCTGCCAGGAACAGTTCCAGATATAGTTGTAGAGACTACTGCATCTCTAAAATAAACACTTAGATTCTAGTGCAGGAGACAGCCAATAAACCCATAGAACAAATAGACAAGATAATCCAGATAATAATAAATGCTATGAAGGAAACCAAACAGGGTAACATGATTCTGGAGGGATTGTGGTGATGTTAGATTTGGTGACAGGGAAGGCCTCGCTGAAGAGGTGGTACAATGGATGGAATGTGTGTGCTCCCCCCTTCCACCTCCCAATTCGTATGTTGAAATCCTAGAAGGTATTAGGAGGTGGGGCCCTTGGGAAGTGACTAGGTCATAGGGTGAAGCCCTCATGAAGGGATTATTACCCTTATAAAAGGGACCCCAGAGAGCTTTATCATCCTTTTCCCATCATGTGAAGACACAGTGAGAACACAGCATCTAGGAAACAAGAAACAGGCCCTCATCTGACACTGACTCTGCCAGCACCCTGACCCGGGATTACCCAACCTCCAGAACTGTGGGATATACATGTTCGTTGTTTAAGCCACCCAGTTTGTGGCACTTTTGCTATAGCAGCCTGACAGGACTAAGACAGGTCACATTTAATCAGAGACCGGAACGACAAGAAAAAAACCAACCATGAAGATTTCTGGGGACAGAGTGTTGAAGCAGAAGACCCCAAGGGGAAACAAGCACATGAAATGTGCAGGGGAAATGCAAAAAAATTTTAAGTGTAGTCTAAATTCTTTTTGGATGCTGTACATAGTTACCAGTGGAAGGAATGAAGAGCTATAACCCAATCTTACTGAAGTAAAGACATGTTACCTTCTTCACTAAAATGAATCCGAGACCTCCAAAGCTGCATGGGATGGAAATGTTCATCATGAGGAGGATCAGCTCAATCTCGCAGCCTCCTCTCTCTCCAAGACTCACTCTCCTTTGGAGTCTCATGCCCAAGAGAAGCATACACACTGACAGCTCAGGGATCATCTTCTGAGAGCAGACTTAGGACCATGTCACATTGGAGCTGCTCATTTGATGCTGCTAAGTAAAGACTTGAACTTTACTTCTATACGTCATCTTTTGCTCATTCCATACAGCAAGTGGGTAAGAGCATGCATGATTGTTTGGGATCAAGTCCTGCTCTACTGCTTAGCAGCTGTGAGCTTTTGGGAAAACCACTTAACCATTTTATGTCTCTGTTTCATCATCTGATAACTGGGGCTAATGATAGCATCTGCCTCATAGATTCATTGTGACCCTTCAATGAGATAATACCAGAAATGGGCATAGAACAGTGCCTGACACATAGCAAATACTTAGCTGGCTACTAGTATTCAACCCATTCATATCTAAACAGACCAGATAATAGCCAGACATTCATAACGTGGTCTTATGGTACCCTATAATAAAGTCCAATATCAATATTTAAAAATAGAAAGTTCCTATAGATTGTGTATCATGTTAAAAACATCACTGATTAGTATCTAAATGTTTAGAAATATTTGACAATTGATTATAACTGAAAGGAAGAGAAGTCTGAATTAGTAAAAGGTCTAGGTCTATATGACAACTAGAACTATCAATATATTTGTATTCAGGTTTAAAGCCAAATTAATGGAAAATAATTTAAATGAATTTAAATTAAAATAAAAGCTTAGGCACTTCAAAAACACTTCAGTAATCTGCAACATTTTAATATTCATTTTTCCTCAAATGACATAAAAACAGTCATATTAGCATTTAAGGTTATGTTCTAACAAAATAAAATGCATGGTGATGCTCGTGTGAAATACTTTTTTAAAATAACTGAGACTTTCATGTCTTAGGAGAGCTTTTAGAATAGCTTGAGTACTTCTTTAATGCAGATTTGGCCATCTGAAAAAGAAATTTTTATCTTTTACTATATTGAAACTTTATATTAAAATGAATGATTATCTTTAAAAAACAAAAGTTTAAATTGGATTTTAAAATAAAAATTATATTGTTTTGGTAAAATGCTTTTGGTTTAAAAGGATCAAACTATGATATGTTGATCATCTTAAAATAAAAATTATAAGATATACTTATGTTATCTTTTAAGAAAAGTTTTATATATAAATAACAATAGGAGTGGACTTCAAGCTGTGACAGAATGAAGAGGTCAGCAAATCCTCTCCCCAGAAAATAAGTACAAAACTGAACAAAATTGTGAAAAAACAAACCATTTCTGGGCTCTGGAAATCAACCAAGGGCAAAGGGAACCTTTGAAAAGTGTTTAATTTATGATAAACTGCTAGAATTTCAAGTTAGAAACAGAGGAAATTTGCAGCCTTCTTGCCTAGAAATACTCCCATACCCCCTCCCTCCCTCAACCCCATCCCTCGCCCCAACCCCATCCTCCATCAACAAGGAAGTTTTACCAGAGCACAGGTGACCATAAGAACCAATAACTAACTATGCTGCCAGAGGGTTTGACTTGATTTCCAACAGACAGTGAAAACTACTGCACAGCAACATTGCCAATAAAAGCAGCAAAATAGGTATTAAATGAAAAGGAAAAACCACAGCTTTGCAGGGAAGAGTCTGCAGTCCCAGATGAGGCAAGCAGCACATCAGCCAAAAATTCAATGGGCAGATTTTGGAAATGAGACAGTCGTGGAAGGTGTAGGTAAGTTCTCCAGGCAATCCTGGTTGATGGGAAAGGGATGTGTAGGGAAGACATGAGAAGACCTGATGAGAAGTAAAAACTGAGGCCGACTTGAGAACCTGATTTTTGAGTGTGTTCCCAAACGACACATACATCTATCACTAAAAGAAGGAAGTCTTACAGGATTAAGGTATTTGCCACAATCTCTGTCCAATTATTGGCTAACCCAAAAGCCATACAAACATAGTTGGAAACTCATGAGGAAGGCAGGCTAAAAAGTACAAATAAGAATTTAAAAAAAAAAAAATAGCAGACACATCAGCAGCCACACTTACAGGAGAAAATTATGCAGATAAAACCTAGGAAAGTTACTAAAACAAACAAACAAAAACAACAGCAGCAACAAGAAAAAGACAACCCTCAGGGAAAATACTGGAATCCAGAATTGCTGCAATATATTATATAAAATGACTAGTTTTCGAAGAAATTTTTGAGACATGCAAAGAAACCAAAAAGTGTGATGCCTACCTGGGGGAAAATGTCACCAATAAAAACTGACCCTGAGGAAGCCAGATGTTGTATTTATGAAGAATTCAAAGCAGCTATTATAAATATGTTCAAAGAATTAAAGAAAATTATGTTTAAGAATTAAAAGGGAAAAATTACGAAAATGGCTTTGCAAATAGGTAATCTCAATAAAGGAATGCAAACTATAA